CTGGTGAGGCCACACCTGGAGTACTGTGTGCAGTTTTGGTCTCCTTACTTGAGAAGAGATGTACTAGCACTGGACCGGGTGCAGAGGAGATTCACTCGGTTGATTCCAGAGTTGAGAGGGTTGGATTATGAGGAGAGACTGAGTAGACTGGGCTTATACTCATTGGAATTCAGAAGAAGGAGGGGTGATCTTATAGAAACATATAAGATTATGAAGGGAATAGATAAAGTGGAGACAGGGAGGTTGTTTCCGCTAGCAGGTGAAACTAGGACTAGAGGGCATCACCTCAAAATAAAGGGAAGCAGATGTAGGACTGAGGTCAAGAGGAACTCCTTTACCCAAAGGGTCGTGAATCTGTGGAATTCAATGCCCAGTGAAGTGGTTGAAGCTACCTCACTGAATGTTTTTAAGGCAAGGCTAGATAAATTTTTGAACAGTAAAGGAATTGAGGGTTATGGTGAGTGGGCGGGTAAGTGGAGCTGAGTCTCAAAGATCAGCCATGATCTTATTAAATGGCGGGGCAGGCTCGAGGGACCAGATGGCCTACTCCTGCTCCTAGTTCTTATGTGCATCATTTTTTTTATTTCAGACGAAAGATTTTATTTCCTCATGGTTCAGAACCTATCCAACATACATAAGTGCAAAGCTAGGTGGTTGTAGGATCCTATACAAACATATTTTCGTACCTTTCTTGAGGATCAGAAATTAAATCATTAACTTATGCTGACAGGATTTTGATTATAACAAAAAAGGCACCACATATGACCCCTTACATCGCTCCACCTTGTTCATTTTGCCTCACCGATAAGAAAATCTACATCTAAACATCCCTATCAAGATTTCATAAAACTTCCAGTGCCTCAGGGACCCCTGTCTATCTGTGCTCTTGGGAATACCCTCTTCTTTGTGTAAGTCACATTCCTGACACATTCTATCTGTAAAAACTCTGCTCAATTCTACACTTTGCTTGAGACCACCATACCACTTTCAGTAACTTATCTAAAGCTTATTTTCATAATTCTGTTAACTCCTTTATTAATTCATATCTTTAATACTAAAGAATCACTCCTCATATTCTAGTACCCTGTCATAACATAGTTGAAGACTTAAAAAAAACTTAGTTGCATATACAACAATGACTAAACAATTGCACAAAAATTAGGAATTTTGAGCCAAATATTACACATTGTGAAAATATTCACATTATCCAGATTTAACTCCCCTAAAATTTTTAATGGCATGGATTCTTGGGAGGGGATAGGAATAATGGTGAGGTTTTCAGCACTCATCATTACTTGGATGTAATTTATACAACACCTCCAGTGGCAGCACAGGCACAGCAGAAATGAGGAAATTGCTATCCAAGCTGCTTTGCTAACCTCATCAAGAGAACTGGAATTAAATACATGAAGGCTGTGGAATGCAGTGTTTGCCTATTAGGTAGCCATCTGAAAATGCCAGAAAAATGTTACATTTTTTGGAATGAAGTACAAGTTTTTTTTATTAGCATATACTGTCTTAATTTACTTTAAAACAAGTAATCCTTCATTTTAGTTGCTGACGTTTTTCTAAAAAGAAACCTTTTCTTTGTGTCTCATCTCTTTCTGAATCCCATCCATCTTTTACTCTTTATTTTTATTTCTGTACATCATATACAGCACTAAATTAAATATTCTACCTTGAGCTTCCTGATTTAGACCTGCCATGTCCCAAGTAAGGATTCTTCAGCATGTAGTTAAGGAGATACACCGTTATTTATTCTGGACATGCAATTCCTAGAATCCCAAGAAAGGCACTGCCTGTATTTTGCTGCGAATTGCTATAATTTACAATGCAAATTATAATGAGAGTATGTAATGTTATGATAGGCACTTTTTGATTGTCATTGGTTTGGATTTTGTGGTCAATCTCACAGATTGCCATACTGCTCCTTTTTCACAAAATGAAGGGGCTCCACATTTCTGACAGTGGTTGAGCTCAGGGCGCTGACAGGCTGCTTGTAGTGCAGAACAATCGGGGGCTGGCAAACCACACCCACATTTTCTCAAATCACTTGCTGTATTCTGTAATTTAAAGGGTCAGCAAGCAGCCACTTTGACATCATCTGTGAAAGGGTAAGTACATAAGCTTAGTGTGAGGTGAGGGTGCAAGTGACCAGGTAAGATATTGGCTTTGTTGGGAAGAGGTGCGTCTGGTCTGAGGAGGGGTTTGGGTTCTAGCTCCAGGCCAGATGGAGATCAAAGGTAGAGGTGTGATGTTTGTTCTGGTGATGGGATTGTTGAATCCCGAGGTGAGAGGGGTATGTCAGGTCAGCATCTGGGAATGGAGTATTTGAAGGTGTGCCTGGTGAGTTTGCGGGTAGGGGAGGGTGGTCAGTTGAATAGTTTACTGAGTTTGATTATGTTTTCAATATTCTAACTTTTCCTGAGTAACTATTCGCTTAACTACAGAGAAACCCTCTGAATTCTCCATTCCTAAATATATGTTTTCAAAGAGTTCCAGATGTAGGGGAAGTGCTGAATGAAATCTTCAATTTCCAAGGCAATTTCTTTGGAGTCTGTACTTCAGGAATTTCACAGGATCTTCATGAGTGACTCTGACCAAGCTGTAGAAACAATCATCTGGTCATCGGACATTTTGGACCTATTTTTACCACTATATTTCCTATTTTCTTTCTCAACGCCATGTCATATATGTTTCCTTCAATGGAACTAGTCTGGATTACATTTATTCAGTGTTAATCTGTTAATAGGAACATGTTTTATAAATGAAATTCAGTTAATGCTGCATTTTCTTCTCACCTAAATATAACCAAGGAACTGTGTTTGAATAAGCATTTATAGTCCCCATCAACTCAGAAAATGCCTAAATTACCAATTTCATGTTTGAAATCTGGTTTATTTCTAGAAGCTTCTGCATGGGATTCTGTGCACTACTCTGTAGTGAAAGCATGTTCTTTAAATTTGATTTTATTGTTATTTAACACTGGTAAGGCTGTTTTTGTTGCTCATTCCAAATTGATGTGAATTAGTAAACATATATGTCCGTAGTATCATCCACACCCTAAAACAATGATCTTGAACTCCTTTCATGATATAGATCAGTGTTTAATTACTTCACGTTCAAAGCCCTTCTGTTAAGTACGTTTCAGTTGACTGAAGCTTTTTTATTATTAATTTATGGGATGTGGTGTCACTGTCTAGGCTGGCATTTATCATCCGCCCACATTACTCAGAGGGAGTTGAGTCAACTACATCACAGTGGGTCTGGAGATACTTGTATACTGGACAGGATCAGGTTTTCTTCCCTAAAGAACATTAGTGAACCGGATGTTTTTAATGTGTTATCCACAGTAGTTTCAAGGTCACCATTGGCCTTTTAATTCCAGACCTTTTTTTGAGGTTAAATTTCACCAGCTGCCACAGTGGGAGTCAGACCCATACCCACAGCCTGGAGTTGAGCTTACTAGTCCAATGACATTATCACAACATCACTGCCTGCCTTCTGTATGTTCCATGTTTTTCTTTCACTTTTAATCTTAATTTGCTCATCGGGCACCCTTCAGTTTATTCGACTTTGGATTGGGATGCGTTGTGCCACTGAGATTATATTGTCTTCACCCAGTTTCCACTGAAGACAGCTTGAGCATCCTAACAATGGTTGATTCTTCCATTTCCCTAGTCCATGTGTGATAAGACCGTTTGTAGTTCTTGAACTGTCATCTCAAATGGCAGCTAATTTAATATTGTTTAGGGATCAAAGCTTGAATCCATCTCTTTGTGGCTGAGCAAACCAACTCCCATCTTGCAAGTTATGCCACTGGCAATGTAAATTCAATTATTTAAATCAAAAATAAATGCTTAAAACTATTTCATGAAAAAGATTTGAGTACATGGGATGGGACTTTCAGACATTAATCTGTAATGTTTGCCTTGTAAATACTGTACTGAATTAAAATAAATCTCCATGTCAATGCAAATACTGCAGCCACCACTCCTGACACTTAAACTCGCTGACATTCATGTGCCTATTTTTTTTTAACTGATACAAATTAACATTTAACCATTTTCTGGAATTGCAGAATTCATGTGTTTAACTTAACTGAACTTTTTTTTTACATGCAGGCTGTGGATTACTATCTAAAGGCAATGAGATCACTTAGCAGATGGGAAAAACATTCAGCTGTTTGGGATTCTGTGAAATGGGAATTGTCAACAACCTATTTTACAATGGCAACCCTGGAACAAGATTATGCTCCATTATCAAGAAAAGCTCAAGAACAGGTATTGAACAAGATGTGACCTTTTAGTTCACTGTTCACCTCATTCAGTTCAGTAAATGGTTTCATATTTTGGGAAGTGTCAAAGTTGTGGAAGGATAACAATGATGCTGTCACACCTGATTTCCTCCAGGAGTTACTGTACAGGAGTCTGATTCCCCATTAAATTGCTTTCTCCACTCCAATTTAGAAAATTGAGCCCAAGTTTAATATTGTTAGTACTGTTTGGCAGAAATTGAGAATAGTTTGACTTGTGCAGAAGAATATAGCTAAAGGCTATGAGGAAATTCAATAGCGAGCTCAGTGGTCTGAAACTGGAACTCAGCATCACAGGGAGTGGTTGAAACACATACAAAAATACATGTAAATAGAAGTGAGAAAAGTTGAATGGGGAATAAATACTGCCATGTACTGCATGCATTGAATAACCTATTTCTATACCAAATGTGCTATGTAATTATCCGATCTCACTGTACAGAGCATCAACAATGAACATAGAAAATAGGAATAGGAATAGGCCATTTGGCTGTTTGAACCCGCTGCTCAATTCATTATGATCATGGCTGATCATCCATCTCAATATCCTTTGATTCCTTTAGCATCAAGTGCTCTGTTCAATTCTTCCTTGAAATTGTACAATGTTTTGACCTTGACCATTTTCTTTGATAACGAATTCCACAGGCTCATCACACTCCAGACGAAGAAATTTCTCCTTGTCCCGTTCCTAAATGGTTTACCCATATCCTCTCACTCTGCCATTTGAGAATATCCTTCTCGCGTTACCCTGTCTAGTCAGTTGAATTTTATCAGTTTCTGAGATCCCACCCTCATTCTTCTAAACTCCAGCGGATATAATCCTAACTGATTCAACTTCACATACATCAGTCATGCCATCCCTGAAATCAATCTAGTATATCTTCACTGCACTCCCTCCATAGCAAGAACATCTTTCCTCAAATAAGAGACCAAAACTGCACGTGCTATTCCAGGTATGGCCTTACCAAGGCCCTGAAATAATTGCAGCAAGACATCCTTGCACCTGTATTCAAATCTTCTCACTGTGAAGACCAACATATTATTTGCCTTATTTACCATTTGCTGTACCTGCATGCTTACCTTTGGTGACCAGTGTATGAGGGCAGCGAGGTCTTCTCAATTTATAGCTGTTCAGATAATAATTTGCCTTCCTGTTTTTGCTACCAAATGGATAACTTCATATATATCCATATTATACCGCATCTGCCATGTATTTGCCCATTCCCTCAGTATGTTCAAATCACGCTGAAGCATCTTTGCATCCTCCTCAGCACTCCCACCCAGCTTTGTGTCCTCTAGTTGTCACAAAGTCACATTAATATAGTGCCTTAGTAAAGTGTCCCATTCTATTTCAGGAGAATGTTTTGAAAAAAAATTTGAAACAAAACCACATAATTAGATATGTCGAGACAAAACCAAAATTTTGGTCAAAAGAATAGGTTTTATGGAGCATTTTAGAGGAGGAAAGAGAGGCTGACATATTTAAGGGGGGAATTCTAGAGTCTAAGGCTTAGGTACCTGAAGCCACAGCAACTAGTAATAAATGGGCTAAAATCTTGAGGTTGGAGGAATTTGAAAGCAAGATGGAGAATTTTAACATGACGGCATTACAGGTACAGGAGCCAATGCAAGTTAGTGAGCATGGGTACAGGTGGCACAAACTAGGAAAAAGCAGATTTTTGAACAAGCTCCAGTTTGTGTAGGGTGTAATATGGGGGACTGACCATGGGAGAATTGGAGTAACCAAGTATAGAGATAACAGTAGCATGGACGAGTGTTTCAGCAATCTGGAACCTACTGAGAACTTGGGTTCGGCACCATACCAGATGTCAGGTTACACATATTGCCAATAGAGGGAGCTCCATGATTATTATTGATTTCGTAGTACAAAGAAGGGTATATACTTTAAGCAGTGACCCACAATTTTCTAGTAAAATAATTGTGCACTTCATTAGCCAGATGTTTTTAAGTGTGTAAATTGGCCAGCAATTTGTGGCAAGGTGTATCATGTAAATTACTAAACGATTTCTGCCATTTAACCATTCGCCTGACATAACCAGGAGGTTGGCATCAACCTCAAACTTCCAGGGTGTTCCAAGGAATTGCAATGCTTGCAAAATGAACTGCATTAAGTTTAATACAGAAAATTACGGAATAGCTGCGCAAGGATCTTTTTGATTGCAACCCTCAATGGTTCTGCACTGCCACTGCGTTGTCTTCCAGAACGGAAGTTAGTTCAAACTGTGGTGTCTCATTCCTTTTAAGAGGTAAATTGGCTTTAAAGGTTTAATGAATTTCATTTTTCTCTAGCTTTTTTGTTTCTTTCTCAGTCCAATCGGTCTTTTCTTATTTCCATGTTTCCTGTTCAGTTATTCCCTATTATTTCTTTTAATTTCATTGATTAAGATGAAAGAGTAAATATCATCACTCCATGAAGTCTGAAATACCCGGTCGCCCACACCTCGGTCATCAGTTGTCACTTTCAGCAACTAGCTGAGCAGTGAGGGATAGGTTTAACCCATTGGGTATGCTTTACTGCTGCAAATTCTGGGCAAACATGTTTCTAAAATGCAAGTATGAAAATTTAGAATAACAAATCAGATTCTAAATGTATTACATTTATAATTAAATGTAAGATGTTGAATAACTGAAGGAGTTACTAAACCCCTATCGTACTTTCAAAAGTCATTTAAAGATAATTTTGTTGTAATAAAAGATGTCACCATCTCCTTCATAGAAGGAATCATAATTACATATTTTTCATCATTTGATTTTTCCTATGCTGTCACGTGTTCAGTAAGTATTTTCTTGAGGTTACTTGAGATCTGTTTAATAATTCAAGTTATTGTCTTACAATTTTTCAGATTGAGAGAGAAGTTGCTGATTCTATGATGAAGTCTCTGAAGTACTGTGATATACGTACAGAATCTGCAAGACAACCCTTGTGTCAGTATCGGGCTGCAACAATTCATCATAGACTTGCCTCCATGTATCATAATTCTCTTAGAAACCAGGTAATCTAAAACTTTAATGAAAAAATATTCTTAAAACCGCACAAATCACAATCACAGATAATGCAACAGCTAATTATTGTTTGCTATTTGTTCAAGGCATTTAATCTCAAATATTACTCCAGTCAAATTTAACAAAGGCAAAATAATTAAAAGGCATTCCTTTTAAGCTGTCTTGAAATCAAGATTGTGACTCACCTCATGACAATTTCAATAGGCAGGCAAAATCATATGCTGTTAAAACATTACATATTTATGAAAATAAATTGCATTGGTTGACAAATATTTGATTCATATATTTACATGATGTTTGATTATTTTTATAAATAATTAAGGTTGTGTTCAAATTTGTTTTAAAATGATGGCTTTCTGGTCAATCAGGCTGGATGGAGAAATATTTAAAAAATGGTATCTTTGCATTGAGTTATTTTCATTTTGTGTTCGATATTCCTATAATTCACGTCTTATTTATTTGTGTGTATTTGCCACCGTATGCTCTCCAGTGGGAATAGGCGATGGCCTAGTGGTGGTATTGCTAGACTATTAATCCAGAGTCCAGGTAATGTTCTGGGGACCTAGGATCGAGTTCCACATGGAAGATGAACCTAATAATCTGGAAAGAAGAACTTAAAGATGAGCATGAAACCATTGCCAATTGTCAGGAAAAACCCAAAAGAACTGCGAATGATATATAAATCAGGAACAAAAACAGAAGTTGCTGGAAAAGCTCAGCAGGTCTGGCAACGTCTGTGAAGAAAAATCAGTTAATGCTTTGGGTCTGGTGACCCTTCCTCAGAATTGTCATCTGTGAAGAAAAATCAGAGTTAACATTTCAAGTCTGGTGACCCTGCCTCAGAACGCTGGACCCGAAACGTTAACTCTGATTTTTCTTCACAGATGCTGCCAGACCTTGTGAGCTTTTCCAGCAGCTTGTTTTTAGAAATGTGCTGTCCTTACCCTGTCTAGCCTACGTGTGACTCCAGGCCCACAGCAAGGTAGTTGACTCTTAACTGCCCTCTGGGCAATTAGGGATGGGCAATATAAATGTTGTCCTAGCTAGTGACACTCGCATCCCATAAATGAATAAGATAGAATAGTGTGATGCAGGTATCTTTGTTTGGGCTTCTTAACATTTACAAGATTTCCAGTCATCTTTGTATCCCTTTATTAAGTAAGGAATTAGTACCTTATTTCGTATTTTATATTTCTCTGTGTGGAGATCAAAATCAATTTCTTTGAAGTGGTTTATTAGGGATTAATGTTCTTTTTCCAAGAAAAAAATTAAATGTATGACCATGCAGAATGCAGGTTATACTTGGGAGAGCAAGGCCATTTACTCCATGTTTTTTTAATAAATATCCTAAAGCTCCTCCATTGCAAAAACTCCTGACTTTGTTGATGATACCTGTTTTCATGAACATACGCTTTATGAACAAAATTTTCTAATAAATTTTAAATTTACCTTTTACAGATTTGAATCAGTGGCCTTACATTGACTTTTTTACATTGTGTTTAAGATTTTTGAGTAGATCTGTAGCTCGGGTTGTGGGTGTTGAGGTTGGTTGGCTCGCCGAGCTGTTTTGTTGTTCCGCAGACGTTTCGTTACCGTGCTGGGTAACATCCTCAGTGCAGCCTCTGATGAAGCGTCGGTGTGTTTTCCCGTCTGGTTTTTAAACATTGTGTTTATCGCGAGATAACTTCTCTATCACCTTGTTAATGTGAACAATTCACATTTTCAGATCTGTCTTTATAATTCGTGTCATAATACTGGCAGTCAGCCTGAGGTCTGCACTATTCTACTTCTGATACATAGTCTTCCTCTGTGCTGATGACCATCACTGACGAATGTACTTAAGTTGTGGTCTATACAGAATATTATCGAATTTGATCATAACTTCTTCCGACTTGTGTTGTTTGGGCTACATTGTTAAATAATCTAATGGATTTTTTTCTGTATTGGTTGGTTATATTGAATATCAATAATATGATTACGTATTTTCCTTAAGAGTCAGAAGGTTGTAGATTTAAATGTCCACTGGAGAATCTTAAGGATGTAATCTAGAATGATACTTGATGCAATACCTAAGGAGTTTAATTCTTTAATTCATTCATGGAATGAGGGCATTGCTGGCCAGGCAGCATTTATTATCCATCCCTAATCACCCAGAGGGATGTTCAGAGTCTACCACATTGTTGTGGGTCTAGAGTTGGATGGCAGTTTCCTTCCCTGAAGGACATTAGTGAACCAGATGGGTTTTTCCGACAATTGACAATGTGTTCATGATCATCATTCTTTAATTCCAGACATTTTATTGAATTCAAATTCCACTATCTGCCATTAATAGTCAGCGATAATACCAATAGGCCAGTGCCTCCCCATACTTGGAAGTACTATTTTTCAGTTGACATCAAATTAAATCATGTCTGCCTCTCAGGTGAATGCACAAGATCAATGGTGCTAATTAAGCTATAGTCAGGAAGTTCTGGTGTTCTATCAAAGCTTTTCTTTTTTTATTTATTCATTCATTGGATTGAGTGTTGCTGACCAAGCCAGCATGTACTACCATTCCTAATTGTCCTTCAGAAAGTGGTGGTATACTGCTGTCTTAAATCACTGCATTCTGTGTGGTTTAGGTACAACTACAGTGTTGTTAACGGCGATAGCAACTTGTTCTAAGTCAGAATATTGTGTGGTTTGGAAGAAGTTTGCACATGGTGCTATTCCCATGCGTTTGCAAGTGCCAAAGGTTGCAGGGTTGGTAGGTACTATCGAAATGAAGCCTTGGTGAGATACTGCAGTGCATTATGTAGATGGTACACATTGCTGACACTGTATGTCAGTGGTGGAGAGAGCCAATGTATCACAATGACTGCACTTTAAAAAGTAATTCGTTGGTTCTGAAATGCTTTTGACATCCGGATGTCCTGATACCTTGAAAGTTGTTCTACTAAGTCTCGGGCGTACTTGTTTGATTGAAATTGCCTTTCTGGCTTTGTAATTTTTTTTTTTTAAAACTAAGCATCAAAATCTGGTTACTGAAATTTTAATTCAAATAATGTGCATTCTCACGGGACTGTTTAATCCAAAAAGCTTATATTAAATAAGGGGCAAGAAACCTGACAGAGATTGTTTTATTGGTTTTTGTTAACACCCTTACAAAGGTAAAATTGTTTTTCCTAAAGTCTTAACTTGAAAGGTATATGTAATTTCTTTTTATAAAATCTAGGTTGGTGATGACCATTTTCGTAAGCAGCATCGCAGCTTGGCGGATCTCCATTACAACAAGGCTGTGAAATTGTTTCAGTTGCTGAAAGATGCACCTTGTGAACTGCTGCGTGTTCAGTTAGAACGGGTTGCATTTTCAGAATTTCAGATGGCAAGTAAGTAAATATTAGGTTCAAAAATAATTTAATTTTGTTAATGTCAGTTTATAAAGATAGAAATTCTTTAAGCACTGCATTCACAATTTAACTTAAAAGTAAGGATTTGTAAAAGTGTTTGAACAATATGGAGAATAATTGAAAATTTTAAAATCCAGACGTTGTTGCACTAGAAACTACTAGATCACCAACCATGGTGACAGATGCAAATTAATACAGGAAAGACAGTGTGACCTTGTATTAGAATCAAGTCTAGAGGTAACAAAGGTGTAAAACAAGGGTTTCATCAGCAAATGAACTGTGCCACTTGAAGCTAGGCAATGTTACAGAATGGAAAGAATGCTTTTGGAAGCACATCTTGACATGCAACACCATATTGAGAGTGGACTGGTTTTGTTTTAAGCAGTTGAGACAGAGGAATGGAGTTTGCAGTGGGGACAGAAAGCAAGAAATAACTCGGCTTTCCAATACTTGTTTGGATGGAATTTCTGTTCAACAGTACTGAATGCTGGATAATCAGTTTTATTTGACGGCAGTCTGAAAAGGTGGTGGTGATGCAGCACTGGATGCTGTTAGCATGCATGTGAAATCTGATGCTACGTATTAGGATGATGTCGGTGAAAAGCAAGATATAGAGGAACAATGACAGAATACAAGCCATATGTGTAACCTGGTCATATAATTTTTAACTCTTGAAGACTTGGCATAATTTTGGTGAGTCTGGGCACCTCTTTTGAAGCAAATGCATTTTTTCTGAACGTTTGAACTTGATTAATATAATGGGTGCCTGTTCACGATGGGTACCAAATCTTTTTACTGAGAATTGTTGCTACCTCATTACAAAAAGCAAAGCGTGGAGGTTCACTTAAAGTACAATTTGGACTTGAGCACATATTGCACTAGTTTTGAAAATATCCTCTATGAACTGCTGTTTTCAAATTCACTTATACGAAAATTTTGCTTCAAAAATATACATTGATTTGTTTGAGTATATTAGTTTAATACATATTTTGATCAATACAGCTGAAAATGCAAAAGAAAGGATTTGAAGTCACTGCCATTTTCCACCAGACTAATTCAATCAACAATTATTGAAAATGACGTTTTTAAAAAAATCACAATTTCCAATTAGATTGGTGTTACAGTGGTGGATTTTTTTTTAAAAAGTCACCCTTCACATGTATGTATTATTTTTGTGCACTCAAAAGATCCAGCTTCATTTTTAAGCCACCTCAAGGTCTGCACGCCTCCCTGGCCCATCTGCTTGCTACTCGCTACACTCCTCGCATTGGGCACAAATTCTTTAAAAGTTGGAGTCAACTCACTTATAACTACAAATCTTTCCACCCAGGCTATTTTTTTCTCAGCATTAGCACACAGAATAATTTGGCAACCACTACAAGGAGATTGTTGTGCCATTGTTTCCTAGGTTGCTTTTTGACCAATAGGCCATTTTTGATGAATTTTAAAATGAAAATTACTCACTTTTTTAAGTTTTAATTTCTAATAGGCACTTATCAAGAATATTACAAACTATATACTCACAAAATTTAAATTTTGTCATTTTCAAAATTTAATTTATTTCTATTTTGCTGTGATGTTCCTATTAAAATAAATCTTTGAAATAAAAAGTGATATTTATTCCATGCTCTGTAGATCAAAATAGCAATGTTTCAAAACTGAAGACTCTTTCAGGAGCACTGGATATAATCATCAACTCAGAATATCCATTTCTGCTTATCCAGAGTGAACTTTCCACTGTCCAAGCACTGGTAAGTATTTTCCAATTGTTTTAATAGGGGAAGGGAAGAAGGATAAAATGATACAGAATATAGCGTTCTTTTTTATTCCACTGAGGTCAAATTCATCTCAAATTGATGAAATAGGTCTAGGTAAAGGCAGGGTAGATCTTCCCTCTGTTAGTTGAAGCATCCTTGGGTGAAGTTGCTTCAGTATGTTTAGTTAATGGCGCTCAGTTGATCACAATAAATATTATTGCTTTGGATCTGTTAAAATAAAACAGATGTGAGAAAAGCAAGTATCATCCTAGTGCAATGAAACATGCTTTTCTGCAATCAGGGTGGAGACCAAGGAGAAAGAGAGGTTTATTCTGCTTCAGGGCTGATCTTGTACCTGTTTTTGGAATTCTTAGGGATGACATTGATTATCGTGTTTCATTCCAGATTCTCTCCTTCAACATTTCTGGGAGGAGGAAAATTTAACTGACCAAGTATGGGCTGATACGAGTTTTGGTTTGGTAATACTCATAAACAGGCCAAGTTTCTTGAATGCATTATTAGAGGGATTGATTATTGGAGTTCTGAGGAAGGGTCACTGGACCCGAGACTTAACTCTGTTTTTTCCTTCACGGGTGCTGAGAGACCTGCTGAGCTTTTCCAGCAACTTTGTTGTTGTTGTTGTTGTTGTTGGAGGGATTGAGTCTAGCTTACAAATCTAGTGCAGTGTGAGCAGTGACTTTGCAGTCACCCACAAAGTCCAGAGCATGTATTTCTGTGGTCAGTTCAGTCTTGACATTGAGGTATCCATGTAATGAGTTTAATACTATCATCAAGGGTAAGTTAATCTTTGAGATGAATAGTTACAATCAGGTAGATTTTGAAAGGGCCTATTTGAGAAAACCCCACTCAAGACTTGGAGTCATATCATGAAGCAATTGCATCATGATAAATTTTCTTAGACCTCCAACTTGTATAAGTTATGTATACAATTGCACGTCTGATGATGCCATCTGGACACGGATTTTAATTGAGCGGGTTTAGTCTAGTGACAAACAAGCTGAGTAAAGCAAACTAATCCATTTCCTTTCACCAGGCACTCATCTACAACACAGGTCATTAGGACCTTAGTGATAGAGCGCTGGATCTCTACACCACTAAGGTTCAAGTTTGCTTACTTCTGATTTCATCCCCCTTAACCATTCTAGAGTATTTGTTTGTCAAAAGGAGGGATTGGTTATCAAAGGAGAAAAATGCAGTAGGGAACCAGAGAGGTTTAGGGAGGGAATTCTAGATTCTGGATTCAGACTGACAAAGGCATGGCAGTGACGAAGTTAGATAAAAGCATTCATTTGCTGCTGGAGGGGCCTGGCCCAATTGACATTCTGGGATTGTTGTTTGTCTTTTATTTGATGGGATGTTCAGGAAATACCTGTGCTGACAATATGAGAAGGCAACCTGTATCCTTAGTGCCTGTTGTCTGTTATCACCCTGTGGGTTTAAGGCTTATTAGAGCATACTACAGAAAATTAGCAATGCCTTGTCATGAGCTTTTCAAAAAGGACATCTGGGAGCAAATCTGAAAGTTTACCTTAGGCTGATGCTGTTTGAATTTTCACTACTCACTCTGTCAGGAACTCCATAGCTGAGATAAAGGCCAGATGTTTTTATTGCAACAGATTGGTTTTCACCTGACACCAAAACTCGGTTACCAAAAAATTAGCCAATTGAAGACCTTGGCCATGTTTTCTTTGCTTATTATGTTACAGACATTTGTCACATTATTTTAAATCCATCATGGAGAGATATTAGACATTGAAAAAATTTGTATTGTCATGAACATTCAGAAGTCATGTTGATAAAATTTCCCTTTTCAAATTAATATTAGCAAGGAAATTGTCAAGCATGCCATGATGGAAAAATGCCTGAAAATGATTCCTCCAGCTTGAACGAAGAAGAGATCATAAATCTTGTCAACATGTTTGAAGCTCGACTTTCTTTCCTGTTGTTTCAACTTATCAAACTACTGACCTCAAAAAAGAAAAGCAGGTAATGAAATGCAGTCCTTTCTTTATCAAAATACCACTTTTTGCCAATTTTCTTAGGTATATTTATATTGTAGCACTCACTGTTCGTGCACAACACAAATGTATGAAAGACAACATAAAACTCGAGAAATAGACCATACTGTCACTCGAGCCTGCTCCACCATTCAGGACGATCATGGGTAATCTTTGACATCAACTCCACTTTCATGCCTGCACTCCATTTCACTCTATGCTCAAGGACACCAAATATCTGAGCCATAATTACATTCAACAAAGGAACATCAACAATCCTCGATCGAGAATTTGAAAGATTCAATTTCTCCTCCTCTCATTGCTGAATGATTGATTGGATCCTTATCCTGAAGCCATATTCTTGTTTTCCAGTTCACCTGCCAGGGGAAACAACTTCTGTGTCTTCTCTGTCAAGCCCCCATCAGAATCTTCTATACTACCATGTGATGACCCCACAATCTTCTAAACTACAAACAGCATATGCAAAATTTACTGAGCCTTTTCTCATGAGTCAATCCTCTCAAGAAATAACTAGGGGAACTTCACCATACCATCTCGAAGGCGAATATATTCTTCCTTTGATATAAAGATCAAAACTGAACATTGTATTCCAGGTGTGGTCTAGGCCAAGCCCCGTACAATTTATAATGATTCCTTTTTGTACGCATTTTCTTGCACTCAGAAGCCATCAGTCTCTGAATTGCAATGTTCAAAAAACACTCAGTTCTGCCCAGCAATCAGAAGAGCTTAATTCAAGTTTTCAACAGGTCTTTCAAAACAGTTTGAGGGTCACTATAGAGGACTTCAGAGGTTGCATGCAGTGAATAAGGATGTGAGACGGAGAGGTGCAGACACGATGTTAGGAATGCTGCTGTTAGATGGGATTAAAACTGATAAGATCCCAGCGCCTGATAATTTACATCCCAGAGTACTTAAGGAAGTGTCCGTAGAAATAGTGGATGCATTGGTGGTGATCTTTCAAGACTATAGACTCTGAAACAGTATCTATGGATTGGAGGGTAGCTAATGTAACCCCACTCTTTTTAAAAAAAAAAAAGGTAGTGAGAAAACAGGGGAATTATAGACCAGTTGGCATGACATCGGTAGTGGGGAAAATAATAAGAGCCCATTATAAAAGATTTAATAGCAGAGCACTTGGAATATAGTGACAGCATCTTTCAGAGTCAGCATGGATTTATGAAAAGGAAATTATGCTTGACAAATCTACTGGAATTTTCTTGAGGATGTAGTTAGTAGAGTTGATGGAGGCAAGCCAATAGATGTGGTTTATTTGGACATTCAGAGGCTTTCGATAATATCCCACATACATTAGCATGTAAAATTAAAGTGCATGGTATTGGGGTAGTGTGCTGATATGGATAGAGATCTGGCTGGCAGATGGGAAATAGAGGAGTAAATGAGTCTTTTTTCCCTGAATGGCAGCCAGTGACTAGTGGGGTACTAGACCTCAGCTATTCACAACATATATTACTGATTTAGATAAGGGAACTAAATGTAAGATCTTCAATATTGCAAACAACACAAAGCTGGATGGGAGGATTAACTGAGGAAGATGCTGACATGTTTCAGTGTGATTTGGACAAGTTGTGAGTGGGCAAATGCTTGGCAGATATAAAGTATAATGTGGATAAATGTGAAGTTATCCACTTTGGTAGCAAAAGCAGGAAGGCAGATTATTATCTGGCAATTAGATTGGGAAAGTGGGAGTTACAAAAAGACATGAGTGTCTTTGTATACTAGTTGCTTAAAGTAAGCATGCAGGTGCAGCAGCAGGTGAAGAAGGCAAGGTATATTAGCTTTCATAGCTGGAGGATTCAAGTACAGAAGCAGGGATGTTTTGTTGCAATTGTACAGGACTTTGGTGAGACCACACCCTGGAGTATTGTGTGCAGCTTTAATCTCCTTATTTTAGGAAGGATATTCTGGCTATGGAGGGAGTTCAACAAAGTTTTACCAGGCTGATTCCTGGGATGGCAGGACTGACTTATGAAAAGAATCTGGATCGGTGAGGACTATATTCATGCAAGTTGAGAATACTGAGATAGGATTTCATAGAAACCTACTAAATGCTAACAGGACAAGATAGGGTAAGCATAAGAATTTTTCTGATGATCAGGGAGTCCAGGGTCAGGGGTCACTCTGAGGAAATTGGGGAGGTCGTTTAAGACTGAGGAGAAGGTCCTTCACCCAAAGAGTGAGGAGCTTGTGGGATTATTTGCCACAATGCTGTTAAAGCCAAAACATTGAATGTTTTCAAGAATGAGTTAGATATAGTTCTTGCGGCTAGAAGGATTGCAGAATATTGGTAGAAAGTAGGAATAGGGGAATTGAGTAGGATGATTAGCCATAATTATATTGAATAGTGGAGCAGGCTTGAGGTGCTGAATGGCCTGTAGCTCCTATTTTCTATGTTAACGTATTGCTGGTGAGGCAGCTGAACTACGCATTCTACTTATGGGATACTGTGAGGAATTGAGAGCATCTGGGTAGTTAGAATTCAGGATCAAGTTCTAAGAATTAGTAGGCAGCTAAATAGTGGAATCAGAAATGGCACTGTGTATGGTTAAGTAACAAAGGGTTTGGACAAATCTTCCAAGCATTAATACTTCAGTACAACTGAGTGATTGGAGGTTGAAGAGCTTACAAGGCAGCATTTGCTTGATGCAACTAAACAAGATTGCAACCCTGGTAAAACCTAGGGGCAATTTAGCCTGATGAAGCTAGCTGTCAGTTAAGAGCTGACATTATGCATAAGTACTGGAATGCAGTTTGAGTCCAGGGGCAGTTTAAATTCAGAAAAGGAAGGTGATCAACGAGAACGAGAGCAGTCATTAATGCAGTCTGTGACCAAATGGCTCTGGAAGGGAGTTTCAAACCAGGTTCGCCAGAGTGAAAAATCATGATTCTTTATAAAGTTTAATGAGATTTGTTGACCTACTATATCGTTACCATCTGGGGGAAGTTGTTGAGAAATTTGTGGGATCTGCCTTGATCTCATTTGCTATTGATTTGTGCTTTGTGGTGTTTGATCACAGTGTAGTACTCTTATTGACCACATTAATTCTGGTCATTAAAATTGAAGTTGTACATGGGTGGTGGATTGCATTAGCATTCTAATGCAATATATATTTAAGTTTTTTGTTGTTTGTTCAAAACTACGGAATTTTGTGGCTCTCCACCAAAACTAAGTTCCCTGGATGTTGCATTTTGTCGAGTTTACGAGTAAGAGTTACTGTCCCTGGCCAGATTGCGTTACATAAATTTGACCGGCTGGTCCACAGTTGTAACAAATTGTAGCAAGACTTATTTATTCTTGCCCTCCAGCTCCCTTATGATAAAAGACAACATAACCACTTCCATTCAAAATTGCTTGCTGTACCTATGTGCTAACTCTGTATTCCTTCTGAGTATTAACATTTATAAGTTTTGTGCCTTTTTTAAAAAAAAATTATGCCTTTCTATTCGTACCAAAGTGAATCCCTCACATTGTGTTGCACATGTGGAGTATGTATGTATTGAGGGTATTTTGTTCTGTAAATTTGTGTCTTTAGGACTGAAATGTGAGGAGGTTTTTATTATCTCTTTTGAATGGAGAGTGAGGAACTTGTATTTATGAATGACTCGTGAGTGAAGCATGCTCCTTGTCTCATACCTGTAGTGGCGTTAGAGGCAATATCTAGACATAGCTTAATTTTGGCTACTGTTGTTCTAATGTAGCTCCTGTTAATTAAAATGCAAATTTAGATAAAAGTGATATTTCAGTTGAAGGTGGCTGTTAGTTTATTGTGATTTAAATGTGCAACATCAGAAATCAAAGGTTTTGATCGGGCTGAAAGTGTCAAATTCTGTATTCATTTTGGCTTCCTTAAAGTAATGTCATTGTCATTGTTTTGTGTTTTTATAGCAGCGTTGGTGATGATCGAATACTGTTGAAAAACTACAAGCATGCTTATTCAACATTATTGCGGGCAACAGCTGATAAGGACACTCCTTTAATACAGAGAGTGGAATTGATACTGAGTTTATTGAAACATTTATCATCCAGATCAGCAGTTGATGAGACTGGATCTGTGTGATTATCAGGTGTTCTCCCATTGTTGTACTCAAAACATCATTATAAAATCTGAATTTTGTTTTGCTATGATCGTCTTTGAATGGTGACAGTTTAAGTAACCTGCCAAAAGGTAAATGAGCAAACTTCAAAAAGCATTTATGATCTACGGATACATAAATCTTAAATCATTGGAGTTATCAGTGTGGACAGTACTTCAACAAATAATTAGTACCAATTAAAAGCTGCCTTTGAAGCAATAATTTAATTTACCCATGAATGTCATATTGACACAAAGGCAAGAAATTCCCAGATTCAGACCCTATTAAGCCAGTTCCAGCCACACTGGCAGTAAAGCTGCTGCTAGTAGCCATATTATCCCTGAGCTGAGGAGGAGGAAAAGCATTCATTGTCCCTGCTTTCTATAGCTTTTCAGTTACCCTTATCAGAAATGAAATAAATGTGATGTCTGGTAAAGGCAGTGGTGCTTCAGATTTGAATAGTTTCTTGAAAAATTCTACCTCAGCTTGAGGAATGGCTACTTGATGATGAACTGAGGAGACCTGTCTGCCAGCATGGGTCACTGCCATCAAGAGAAAGAGAAAATTGCTAACCAGCATAAGCTTTGGTTTATGTTGAAATGAAGTTATAATTTAAATATTGTGAATTACAATATGTATGCACCTTGCATTCAAAGGTTTGTCAGTGAGTTTCTACATGAAGTAATTGCACAGAAACTGACAAAATGAATGACGCTCTTCAGATTATGATTAATTACTGGAAAAAGATACATTAATGGATTTTTTAATGTCCTTAACTTGCAAAACTATCACAAGTTGGTACAAGTGGCGAGTTGCATTTTAGTTGCTTTTTAAACAGAATATTCATATTAATAGGTGAGCCAGTTTTTTTCTCAATGATAATGGATGAATAGTAAAGATTTATTTGTTTTTAAACCCATTTGTCTATGGGAAAAGTGGAAATCCGTACTGTGGGGCTAGTTTCAAAGAAAAAAAGTGAACTACAATTTTTAAAGATCTACAGCTGTGACCAGTTGATAGATATCAGGATGATTCTTTACAATTCTTCTTCAAATGTGGGAATTGCTGGAAAAACCATAATTTATTGCCTGTTGCTACTTATTAATAAGGTAATAGTGTGGCATACTGCAGTTGGTGTGATGAAATTGCTCCCACAATAAGAAGGACATTTTTGATCTAGCAACAGTGAAGGAATGGGAATATCTATAACTTTATATAAAGAAAACTTGGGAGTTGATAGTTCTGTGCACCTGATGTCTTTGTCTTGCTAATTGGAGGTCATCAGCTTTCTTGGCAAGTTCCTGCAAAGAATTATATAGATAGTACATCCTGAATGCTGGAATTGGAGGTGAGTGCACATTTGATATAGCGGATGAATTGCTGATCATGTGGAATTTGATGTATGACATTAAATCCTCAACTGTTGCAGCTATATCTATGTAGGCAATTCGACAATGAATTGTATCATCTAGTCCTGAGGGGGGTTTGGAGAGTCAGGAGGTAAATCATTCATTGTAGAATACCCAGCTTCTGACCGGCTTGAGATGTTAATATAGATTGTCCAATTGAGTTTTTGGTTCAGAATGATTCCCAGGATGTTGATAGTGAAGAACTTGACTACGTTAATGTCATTCAGTGTCATGAGATAGTGAGGCACACCACGTCTTTGAAATTGCCATTGGTATTTTTGTGGCATGAATATTACTTGCCTCTTATCAGCCCAAGCCTGAATGTTTTGTGACATGTCGGCACAGGTTTTTTTTTTTATTGACACTCGGAGGATGTAAGGCAGGAATTATGCAGATATTTAGGTGCACATTTTTCATTTTGATCATTACTACTGATAGCTTTGTGAAATAAACATCCAAGGAGTACACTAAATTTGAAAATACTTAATTATTTAACTTCTATTGCTGTTGCAAATGATTGGGTGAAAAGAAAAGGTGTTACACATGATAACGTGCACTCGGAAGGATAAATGTCTACAGTTACACAAGCAGATTGCGTTTTAATAAAGAAAATTCAATAAATGTCTGCTTTTCATGATGTACAGTTTGTATATTACATAATGGCATTGCAGGATTTTTGCTAACAATATGTAAAGTTTGTAACTATAATTGTGTATATACTTTTAAAAATGTGTGCAGTGTTCTCCAGGTAAATTGGAATGCAACTTTTTTTTTTATAAAATCAGGGTTCAGTTTAGAGATTACTTCATGTACCGTCAATTTAATAAGTGTGAAGAATGGAAAATATGGAAGCATGTGCAGAATCTGGGACTAGTGTGTCTGTGTGCTAACTAGTACCAAATGAACAATCTGATAGTTTTTTGTTTAGGTCAGATTTTATTCCCTTGTTTTTCTATGAAGTTTCCAGTGTGTTTTGGGCTGAATTAGAGAATGTTATTCAGTGAAAACAGCTGTTTATGAATCCATCTCAGAATCTGTCAGCTTTTTTTTTAAAGAAAGATGAAAGACAGACAACTAGCTTTCATGGGATAACACAAGCCATATTAGGAATGTTGTAAGTTAAATGAAGTTGATTGTATTATTTATAGTTTACTGCAAAAGTGTTACAAGATCTGAATTTTTTTGTAACTTTTATAATTTTTCACCTTTCCTGTTCAATAAGGACAGGTATCTATATACGAGGGCTCTGCAGAGTTTGTTCAGAAATACAATACATTTTGTTGGAAGAATATGTTTTTCCTGCTCCAATAGACACAAGCTAATACCATGTGACATTTTTAAACAAAATATACTAATAAAATATGAAAGCAACCCATCATGTAGTCTGTCAATCAAAGTCTGTGTACAGTGATACCAAGCAAATGTGTACCTGGAACAGGTGATGAAGATGTCATACAGTTTGAATTAGAAAAAATATTTGTATGTAGTACCTAAATGGAAAACAAATTAAGTACTGTTTAACTACATTTGTCTACCATTTTCACGGTATTATAAATATGTCAGCCTTAATGCATTATGATTTCGCAAATATAAAAATCTTTACATCTGTGGAATTACCAACAGTCCAGCACAAACTTTACTGCAGATGGTTTTCACTTTTAATTTCTAGTCACTTGATTTTGCATATGCCTGGGATAATGTCTTGTAGCATTAAGTATAAAAAGCAGGCTAATTATGCATTAGCATCCAAAATAGCCGTTGTCATACATGCATTAACCACTTCTTCTTCCGCAGTTTTCCAATTTGTGAAAACTTCTAAAGCAATTTTAACTCTTATTCAGCATTGAATAATGGACATCGCAAATATCAAACCACTGATCTGATATATTTTTCATAGGCATTAGTCCATTTAGTGGCAATAATGGGTTCTGCTTTTTATCCTGGTCATTGACCACTTTCCAAAAGAAATTGCTTTTGAAGAAAAATATGGACTGGTAGTGATATGAGTAGTACACAGCATTCAGATTTTCAATGGGATGATCATTCTGTACAACTGGTGGAAATACATCTATAATTCTTTTTGGATATCCATTAATCTGATTAGTATTCACATTGAAAGTGACCACCTATAAAGAAAATGAATGTAGTAAGACTTGGGAAGTGACCATTTCAGGTGTACAACAGCATTACCTTTTTCTTCCCCAATCTAATCATGTATCCCTGAACCATAATCAGATGAAGAAACATTAAACAACCCTAAAAAAAATCTCTTCCCCTCGAAGCCTTGATCATCATTACCACAGCTACCATTTTATTCAAACAAAGTTACCAGCAAATCTTCAAGTACTGCCTCCTTGTTTTTAATGCTTTACTAATTACCATATGTTAATTTAAAAAAAAAAATTATGGTCAGATGAAATGTGTTGACTGAAGTTTTGTAGTGGGAAAAATTGTCACTGTCAAATGACCAGGTGAGTCATTGGTGAAATCAGCATTCACTGCCCTAATTGCACTTGTGAAACTACACATCGTGCAGTGGTGTAATAATGCACTAATCCTGTACTTTCAAATGTTTTCAAGTAGTAAGTGCTTCCAACCAAACTTAAATGGACTTGAACCCAGATACCTGGCTCAGAGATAGGGACACTACCACTGCACCACAAGATTCATAGGCATTTGGACTTTAAATAGATTGAGTCAAGCTTCCTTGTTTATATTGATTTTTCACCTGTTATTAGGGCACAAGAGGGCCACGTTTATGACCTTAATTAATGAGATTTAAACAAGAGCAACATGGAAGGGAATAAGGTAAATTACATTCTCCTAAGACCCAATAATACACACACAGCAAAATTACTTTGAGAAAAACTAAAAAGGTAAAACAAACTAAAATAATGTGCAGTTTCACTTAGTATACTTAATCAAAGCGGTTCACAGACAAGAATTGCAGGAAAACAAATGACCGTCAAATGGGTCATTCATCTTTTAAGTGTCAGCCTTAATTTTCTGCTCTTTAAACAAATGTCTTAAACAGCTTCTGTTGATCAAAATATTAACAAACTTGGCAAACTCAAATCAAAATGTTACATCTGGGGTATGATGCACCCTAGTGCCTGCAAAGCCCACCAGTGATGAAAGGCTTGTAGTGAGCCTGTGGACTCCATATGCCACCACAAATGGACACCCAAGTGAGAACATAACAATGGAAGAGGGGCAGTCGGGTATTAAATCCACTTAATGGCTTGCTGTGTTGCACCTTTAACGATTATAGTTTTTAATTTGTAGTTGCCCAAGCTTCTAATACTCCAGTTGACTTTTAGGTGTTGTATGTTGGAGGCACGTGTTGAAAATCATCCAGCAATTTGTGCTGATAAACATCTCTTCATATTCTGTAAAGTAAGGCCTCCAATGATGAGGCAATGAGAAAAGAAGATGCAGGAAAAGTGTTAAAGGAATCTGAAGTTCTTAGATGGAGGAGGTCACAGGAATGAGGAGAGTTGAGACCTTGGAGTGTTTTGAACAAGAAAATTAGAATTTTAAAAATAGGTTCATGTTTAGAAACCAATACAGATCGGCGAGCAGCAATAGTGGTTAACAGGATTTGCTATGTGCTAAGATTTGGGCACCAATGTTTTGAATGAGCCTAAGTTTGCGGAGGGTAGAAGGGAAGTTAGACAGGCGTATGTTGAAAGAGTCAAGCCTGGAAGTAACAAATACACAAATAAAAGTTCCAGTGGTGCATAAACTGGCGGGACAGAGATGAGTGACAGGGAGAAAATTAGGGAACAAAACAAAAAGGATGTAAAGTCAGATTCCATTTTAAATGTGGTTGTAGACAATTGTGCATGAATGTAAGAATTTGAAAACATTTGACATTCAACACAGATTTCCAATTTTGTATAACATTTCAACTGTTAATTATTTTTGACTACAGTCTGTAATTAGTTTAGATAGTAATAGTTCATTTTGTGAAGGTTTCCAAAATAGCACTATTAGATCTGTTCTTCCAAATGATGGTAGGATTTGGCATGAAGGTTGCCAAATAGCCCATACTGCCTGTTCCACCAATTAGTGAAAATGCCTTGCCTCTGCCCACATCCCGAGGACAAAAATAAAACTTACATTTGAACCTTTGAAGAAATATATGTTTTGATCTCTTTTATCATAAAAAGCAGTATCAATTGGACCTTGAACACCTGGAAAACCTTCAGAGATTAATTTGGGATATTTCTTTCCCTCTGCATCCTCTGTGTATGTTTGATCACTTTCATTGTCATATCTCCAAAATTGGGTACCTGTATAAGAGTACAAGTACATATTGAAACTAACATTCTGTTAATTAACTGCTTTTAAAATATGTTGACCTATTGAATCACCTTTGAAGAAATAGATGGCATCTCTTGTCCATGTCCATATATGTACAAAAGCATCAATGTCACTACTTGGGATTCCTCGCCATCCAACTGAGAGTGCAATGGGATCTCCATAGCGTGTTCGATTGTTACGATTTTCGTAAAGCCAATACAAGTCATTTCTGAAGAAGTATGTGTTAAATTGAATTATTGTCTCCCCATATTCATTCTTCTCCCTATGAATCCAGTCAAACACTGTGTCGAAAGGACTTTTGCATACACCTAAAAAGAATAATCAGTGGAATCTATTGCCATTTTAAAAAATAAGTTCAGTAATTTCATACAATATTCTAAACTATAACAGCTTGTATTCTATTTGTGATGGCAAGCAGGTCATATGGGTTCTTTCTAAATCAACTATGAAATTGGGAATTTTGCATCCAAAAATAACTCAACTCCTAATGCAGTGAATGAAAAATCTTTCCACGAGCTTACAAATCTGGATGAGTCTACATTAAATTTGCAACTTTTTAAAGTCAAATATCCCAAGCCACATTCTTTGGTACTTTAACGCTGGCTTTTTAAAATTTCTGATTTCTACATTATTCACTTGGTGGATCAAC